CATCTTATGCATCTAAACACTCATATCTTAAATTGAAGTGTCTCATAATCTCCAACTGGCATGAAGAAAACTTGAAGTTAGCAAAAGCTTCACTCCAGTTCATATTTGGGCCCTTTAAGTCTTTACCAGAATGCCAGGGCTGAAACAATGTTAACATAGTACAACAGTAATATTCATAATCACCATGATCATGCCTAGGCAATACAGCACCAAAAAAATTTGGTATGAAGACATTGGAGGGGCCTCTATAGACAACATGATGAGTATCAAATAATGGATGGTCTTTCTGGAAGTCAAATGTACCATGTAAATCTAAAGAAGGTGATGAATCTTCATGTACAGGATCATTGATAGCATCAACCATATCTCCAAGCTCGACAAATGCCTTTGTCAGATTGGATGTGATATCTGTCAATGTGTTACGGTTTATTCATTTTCTTCGTCTTACTCAGCTTGATTACTCATATGCGATCCCTACGGATCATTTCTCACAGTACTATTATTAGCGTATTCACTTGTATTTAAGTAGAGCCTCAGCTGGCCTAAACCCCAGCTTCGGCTAAGGTTTAATCTACCTAACTCAAAGCTCCGCTCTTCGTGACTATCTGTCTCGTCACTGCTCATTCCACAGGACTTTGACCTCTATCGTATCGTCCACCGAAGTGCGAGTGGCGATCCCTAGTTGATCTAAGTTTTGAGAGTTAGTGGCTAACATTTAGCCGAAGCTCGATCAACGCTGCCCAGCATCACACTGCCCAGCATTTATACCTTTATCATTCTCCTCCTGGTAGCGGATTGGATTCTCCCGCTCGTGCTACCCGACCCAATTCTCACCATCATCCTTATAGTCCTCGTGACTACACTTTTTGTTCTAGCGACCATCCCAGCACCGCTACTAGCAGCCTTGCTCGTAGTGGCCTACGTTGGTCTCCTACGAACCTAAAAAATGAACCCCTTCGCTCTACTCCTCTGGCTCGCCTCTTTGTTAACGATTGTATTGTTAACATTAACGAGCACCTCCGATACCGGCGAAATCCTGTTGATGAACGGTTCCGACTACGAAACCAACCTCAGCCTCGTAATCGCCATTCTCATCGTACTCACCATCCTCGCTGTCTACCAGCTCGCGAGTGAACTGCTGCATGTTTAAGTGCAGCCATCCAACGGTACGAAGGATAGACCCACTCATGAATGCCCTGGTCCGACGCCATTCCCGCCGTCTTCGTGACTTTTATACTCTTTTTCTTGTCCATTATTTTGTACCGATGATGAGCCTAAACTTCCGTGGCAACGGCAAAAACCAAAACTCTACAGGAGTTCACGGCAAATGGCGTGTAGCGGCAATAAAGGCTTTGTTGTTGTGCGAGTGTTTCGGTGCACCTCCGTGCGATGAATTCCTCAAGAACGCAAGTATACACTGCGACTTTTCAGTCAGCGAAGTAGTACCCTTAACGATCGAGTACTAGAAAACGTTGGCTGTAAGCCGGGAAGGGTCTCGATAGACGAGAAGGAACGGAATCCGGTATAACTGGGAATACCGGCAAACCGTGAACGAAGTGACGGCAATTTAAGTAGTAAAAGCCGTGGGCGATGTTGACGGAATTAGAGAAAATGCCGTCAAAGAGAAATACCGTTGGCAAGATAACAAATACCGTGACGGCAAGAGACGAAGACTGTAGTCGAGAAACGAGAAACTGGCGGTAAAACGAAGATAAGACTGGCTGGCGATGATATGAGGGGGAACTAGTGACGGCAAAACGACGGCTGGGACTGGGCTGGACTGAAACTGAAACTATACTGAGGTTAACGACGGCAAAACGAAACTGATACTAATCCTGAGTCTACACGGAGACTATCCTATACTGAAACTGACGGCAAGATACCAAATACCGTGACTGATGATCCTATACTGAAGCTGTTGACCGAAATTCCGTGACAGATGCTGCTGGCGGCAATAACGATCCTAATCTGAGTCCACACGGGGACGTAACGATCCTGAACTGAACTGGGTAAAACGATGGCGACGTAGAAGGTGAAAACTGATGAAAACGATCCTGGCTGGTGAAAGTGAAACGATGCTGGCGGATTAAAAGATAAAAGCGAGTTGTGGACACCAAATTCCGTGTATTGGCGCAATATGAGCGTACACCAATACCGTTAGAAGAAAAGCCGTGACAGAGAGTATAACTTGGAGTGACTATGTTGTTATTGTCTATCTCCTAGCGAGTACAAGCGATAACGGTGGTCGATAACGTGGATGATGGCTAGTGTCCAGTAACTTTGTCTAGCAACTACTACTACACTAGCTTTTATACTACAAGTCCGGAATAAAATTAGAATACTTGAAACGAGTCCTTAGTAAGTCCTTAGTACATCGATTGGTAAGAAATGATACAAAACGCGTGCTCCCAGAGTTCTAAAGTAACAGCACCCACACGGTTTTACCGCGTATAGACTTAATGATCAGAAAGAATTCCCCCGACATACGGACTCTTGGGCTGCTGTGTTGCTGCGGCAAAGTACACTGAAGGTAGTACACTGAAGTAGATGCGTGCGGCATTATCTTGGCGTTGTAACAGCCTTAGTAAAGTGAGTGGAAAGGTCACGGCATTAGGTCTTTTGCCGTGGAGTTGGTACTTTGACTGTGGCATTCTTCTAAATGACGCTTGATGCTGATGTCATCGATGGCTGTGCTGGGCGATCAATGATGGTCCTAAATCCGTGAGATCTGCAATCAGGTGCCTGGCGGCATTAATGAAGTGGCGCATATTGATACGGAATACGAGCTGGGAAGGATAGTTGGCGGTAAGAGTGGGTATTGCCGTGATTGCAATCGTTGACTTAGTGAAAGTCCGCTAAGTGGACAAGGCATTTATTATAATGCTAAAATCCGCGAATTCTGAGCGTACAGAGCCTTGAGGCTCATCATCCCCCCTAGACTTTTATTATGTTACTCCGTAACATTTGTTGCTGGCGATATTATCGATATTCCCATGAGAAGTCAGGGTATAGGGTACTTGTCGTCAAGAGATAAGATGTGGCTGTGCGATAAGACTGTTAATGGCTACGGTAATGCCAAAGACGCGTCGGTGATCTATAAATAGATCCCGAAGAAGCGGTATTCCATACGGGCTCGGTCTCGTATTTCTTCTAAGTTCCACATAGTACCTTCACGGTGAAAGGTGAAAGGCACACATGGCTTCTGTGCCGCGTGGTAAGGTGAACTTAGAGAAATTTCGCGTTGGTGGAACTTCTCTTTACGCTCCCCACCGCGTACTAGTGGGTACCGTCCTCTGTGCGCTTGCTCGTCGTCTGTGCTGACTTCGACGCGTGTTTCCTTGTATTAGAGCCTCACAAAGACGCTCTTCCTCCTCTTGAGGTGAGTTCTCCGTTTCTTCGTGAGTCGACGCTGGTTACACTGGCGTACTCGTCTTGACTTCGTGCGCTGAATGCCACCTCTGGTTTTACTAGAGTAGTTCTCAGTTCTTCCCTTCGTTCTCGCTCATCGTTGTCCAACGACGTTGATTTCTGCCATGGCTGATCAAGATTTCGGTCCAAGCTATCACGACTCTGCACAAAAGCTAACAGAACTCGGTGCCAACCCTCCAACGAACGCTTGGGATTCCGCTGAGGTCGATGCGTGGCTTATTAATGCCCATTCCAGCTGGACTGTCTGCGATACTACTTGGAGCGCAGTAGAAGATGTCGACGAGGACGACTGGTCTGAACTCGAATTCGCTGCACTATCGTGCCTTCAACATTTTCCTCGGAAACTCGTGTCTCAGGCGCGAGCAGAGTTTAATGCGATGCTGGTGTTCTTCGTGCGTTGACTATTTTCTTCTTTCGTTCGTTTGACTGACTTCTTCCTTTTAGGACAAGTATAACATCACTGTTAGTCCTCTTGTCCTTCGTCCGGCCGTGTCTCGTCAGTCGCGTGCACCTTCGATGGCTCTGGGTCGCGGGCTTAGTCAAACACCTCGACGCGAACGTCTTCAAGACAAATCAACGCCTGCTCCTCCATCGAATACTGGCGCGTCGACTTCTATTATTCAGCAGGAAGTTGTACCGGCGCAATCAAGACACACGACTTCAATTCCTCCGTCTCCCAAGGGGACGGCTACTCTCCATGAAAAGCCCAGGGAACCGACTCCCATGCCTTCTCCAGTAACAGAAAAGACGCCTGTACCTCCAGCTTCAAGACAACCAACACCTCGTCGTTCTCCCTCGACGGAGAAAACTCCAGTCCTTTCTCGCTCTCAACCAACGCCTTCGGGGACTACGAGTCCAGCGCCGTCCATATTCAAACCTTCTTCTCCGGCTCTTCCGACTTCAAGAAAAGCTTCACCAGTTCCACCGGTGTTGGATACTCAGTCGGTATCTGCTCAAGACCTCTTCAAGGAGAAGACGCCCCCTCCTGCGCATGGAGCTGGAGACCAAGGCGTAGACCAATCTGGTCCGCCTGCTGCCAATGACGAGCGTCTTGGTTTAGCTGGTCCTTCTTCAATGCTGCTTGGGTGGGGATCCTCTGCTTGGTCTCCGCCGCGGTCTCAACTAAACTCTCCTTTTGGTAGTCAACCTTTGCCGCCGTCGTCAGCGTTCGACTTTCGTCTGCCTCAAGATTCGCCTCTTAGTCGTCCCACTAAGTCCTTGCTCGTGGAACAGAGCCTTGCTGCTATCAAGGCCTCGGGGTCGTCAAATCTCGACTTTTCTCAACCTGTAGCTTCTCCACCAGCTAATGAAGAGGTACGCGATCGTACGCCCTTATTTTATCCTGGTACCGACGATGAACAGGATACTACTATGACTAAGGCCAAGACTCCTCCACCGCTTCCAGAGGACGAGACTATGGACGTCGACTCCCCTCCTCCAACTCGTCGTATTGTCAAGACCTTAAAACCGGCGCCCAATCCTGTCTTCGAGGACTCGGTCCCTGATAACGATGACACGATCGTTATTGATTCACCCAGGTTACTTCGGGGGCGCAAGAAGAGCAAGGACAACAAACCTCGCCCTCGACCAATTATCAAAACAGGTCCTCCTAAGGGCAAGGACAAGGAGGCCTCAGTCCCCGCTACCAAGAAGCGTAAGATTCACGCAGTCGAGGACGAGAGAAATGACGAAGGTGAGTTCTTTGTTTCTAGTCTCCATATTTTCGTGACTAACTCAATGTTCTAGCCCCCGAAATGCCAGATGCTCATCGTGGCCGTGGACGAGGCAAGGGAGAACCTCCCCATCCTTCTAGAGGAATCTCTGGAGGAGGGTTTGGCGAACGCGTTCCAGAGGGTATGGAAGAAGTGCCCAATCCTCGTTCTGCGTTGGGGGTGCTCGTTCTTTCCAGGGACTTTGGCAAGTATGTCGAGGTTGACGGACGTCTTTGGGCTGCAGATATTGCTCCCTTCGTTGTAGAGGAGGTAAGTACTTTTCTTTCTTCCTTCTCCTCTATTCTCCTGACTCTTTGTTTGAAGTACTCGTACCCTTGCGACCAGTGCAAGAAAGCTGGGACGCATTGCCGTGCCCTGCAGCGATCGGGGTGCATCTGTGCGCGTTGCGTTTATACCAAGGGACTTTGTACTTTCAACGGCAAGAAATTGCTGCGCCCTCGTATCCCGTATCGTCCAGATCCTGGTAAGTGTTCTCTTTTCTTGGTCTGCTATTATTAACGCCTTCTTTCTAGTTCAATACGATGCCATTGTCGCCGCTCGCAATCTCATCAATCAGCACATGGACGCTATCTCTCGCATTATCCGCGACATCTTCCTGGCCTCAAATTTGCAGGAGCATGTGTCTGGCCTTTGGGACTGCGTCAATTCGTTATGGGGTGTTGAAGCTCTGGCTAAGGTCATGGATGGGGTTGAAGGGGGTGAAACGTCGGGCATCGAGGAGGTTGAAGAGAACGAGGCTGGCCCTTCTACGGTTTAATCACAAGTTGATTATGCCCGCGCGTAGGAGTACAGGGTCTTGCCACTCTTCTGTTTTCGAGTCTGTGGCTTTGGCGTAGGGATTTCTTGGGAGCTTGACTCCG